ATCTCCCCAAAACCCCAAAACCCCAAAACCCCTCTGAAGAAACAGAAATTGAAATAATTTGAATAACTGACATTTAGCAGTCTGTACTAGGACTCTGTGTATTCTATTTCTAAGAGATAGTTGTGGTTGAACGAAGACTTTTCTCTACGAGCCTGGTTGATGAAGATATACACTTCGCGTTTTGCCCTCTTAGGGAATGGCAGGAAGTAGAGAACAGCATTGAGAGTTTCACCTGCAGGGACGGTCAGCACCTGCTTGACTGGGATTACGAGGTCAGGCTTGGAAGAGGTGATTTCGATTTCTAAATCCCGGTTTTCTGAGTTAATAATTGGCAGTTTCTGCCACATTTCTCTACCTTTGTATCACTTTGTCACAAATGACTGATTTATCCTCGGTCTTTCGGATTCAATACAAAGTAAATAAGATTGAACTAAGGTTTGGGTTCTGACATCAACACAATTGATAAGGATATTCTTTTGCTCAGATTTAGTCGTTTTGACTGTGAGCTGAGCATTTGTGCTTCCAACTGCTTCAAGTTCTATGGGTCTCTGAGAGACTTCACTGGCTACTTCTGGCTCATCAGTGTACACCCTCACCGATTGCTGTCTCCTTGAACCAGTGATTGGCAAATTAATTGCCTTCCTGACTCCAGTTCTGACCCTTGAAGATACTGCTGTTAAGGCATGAACTTTGATCTGACATGCTGCAATGATATGATTCTTGAAAGAATTTTGGTAAATATAAACTGAAAACACGGATATTTCTGGGCTAAAAGGAGTTCTTAACTCAATCTGAACTTGGTTATTCTCAATGATATGTGGAACTATGTGAGGCATGCTTGTTTCAATAAACAAGTCAGGGAATCCTGAAATTGGAATCGATGTGAAGGTTGGCAGAGTAATTGTAGTATATGTGTTCTCAGGCTCGTAAAATCTGAAAACATGATCAACTGGGTTTGGTCTTGGAACAATGCTAACAGTAATATTTTTAATCAATGACTCATCACTTTGCTGATATATTTTGATATTTATGTTTCTTGGAGTTAAAGTCCTTGGGTTATTAATCACAGATTTCTTATTTGAAACAACTGCATCTCTATACGAGAAGAACTTGAATAGAATTGGACATTCTTGGTCTGGATCAAGGAAAATATTTCCCTCATCATCAACAATGTCCCATGACGGAGGCTCCACTCATTTTCCGTTCTGGCTCCAATATTTCCATTCACTGTTCTCTTTGTCATTATTATAAATGAGACAAAGTTCTGGGGTTTGCAATACTTTTTCGTCTGGATCTTCAATCTTTACTGAATATACATCTGATCTTTTAGAAGCATTGTTAAGCATGATGGAAAAGAAAGAGGGCTCTCCAGGCATGACTGCCATTTCCTTCTCCATGGTCTTATGACTTTTAATCACAGTATCAATAAGTTCCTCCTTTTTCTGATCTCTGATGAATGAAATATGATTGAGTGCAGTCTTTTTCTGCCACTCTTCAACTCCATCATTCAATTTCTCAGTTTCTTGGGCTGTTCTGAGCATTTTCTTTTTGTTCATTCTTTCAACTCTGAGTAACATCTTTGCTTGCTCATTATCTTCAGTGTCTTTCTTTGAAATATATGAAGTCAGATGTTCTTGGAAGCTTCCTTCACCAACATTTGCTAAGGAGATTGGCTTAGATTTCACATGTTTGTACCTATGCTTCTTCTGATTAGGCTGGTTTCTTCTGGCTGCTGACTTCCCTGCGTTTGGGTCAGTGGGAGGTACAACCTTGTTGGTCATGATTGTCTGAATTCTTCCGATAAGTTTCCCATACTTTGGCTCACAGACATCTCATTCTTGGCCAGAAGAATGTAACTCCTTACCTTGCCTGAGCAAGTTAGTCAGTGGAAGTTTGGCAGTTCCAAAATGAATTTTTGAGTTTGAATCAAATAGGTCTACTGATAAGACTCTTTCTTTAAGGTATTTTACCAGTGTTATGTTCTCATCCTTGATTCCACTGAGGGAAGGATCAACTTTGAACTCAAACCTGCATGCCTTTCTATCTTCCATATCAGCTTGATTCTCGTCGTAATGGATTCTGACTATTCCATAGGTTTTATCAGGCTGAACTTTCTCTACATCTCTTTCATCTTCGTTTTCAATGAGCTTGAGCTCAGTAGAATTCGACTCTGGGAAAGTGAAAAATTTGAAAGTGAGATTGAACTTCGGAGGTATTTTTCGACTAATTTGCTCATTATCTATAGGTCTAAAAACTACAAATTTTAAGTAGACTTTTCAAGCCGTATTTGGATCAGAAAGCTCTTTCTCAAGACTAGGCTCTCCTGCAAGGAATTCTAAAGATTAAGATTGTTAATTACCGTCAAGATCTTCGTCCATCAATCCTTTACTAAGTCCTAGATTTGCTAAGATCCTCTTGTCTCTCTTAGTAAGAGCAGTTGAGTTCATAACAGAATGTCCTCCTTTTGCACCAATGAAGTTTATTTTATCCTTCTGTATTGTTTCTAGATCCTTTAAGAACTCGTTAGAAAGGTCTTGAGGGATTGCTCCTGTTCTCCCCAATGTCTGGGTCTCCAGAGGGATGCCAGCATTAGTGCTCTCAACGACTGTTTTAATCAGTTTCATGACCTCATCAGAGTCCATGCCTGACTTAATTACAGTTCTTTTCCCAACAGATGTATCTATCATCTCTTCGTCTCCACTAAGCTGAGATCTATCTCTGGATTTCTTAGATGTAGACCTGTTTTTAGAAGCACTTGCCTTCTTGTCAGATTTTCTTTTATTAGGAGTTTTGTCTTTATTCCTGAGTCTTTCCTTCAGCCTTTTGATTTCCTCCTCCTTCGCATCAAGTTGTAGGCGGTTTTCTAGAGCTATTCAGATGGAGACGCTTACCTTCTCTAAGTTCAGTGAGCTTCATGTTTTCAGTATCGGATCGTTTCACTCCTTCAGATTCCAATTTCTTCTTTTGTTCTAGGTAAAGCTTCTCTTTTTCTCTATTTTCTTGCTCAAGTTTTTCTATTTTCTTCTTGTCTTCTTTATTTTCAACTATATTTTAGAGAAAGTAGAGATACTTTTGATGATTCTTGGAGACTCTTTTTCATTTTTGAGTTTCCGTAAAGTGTCTGTGGGAGCGAAAATTCCTTTCAAAGTGAAGCTCAGAGTGATTTCTATAAATTAATATGTGAAAATACCTTCTTTGCGCTTGTTTATCATTTTCTTAGGCGTCCACTGTGTCATTCCTTCCAGTGAGGGATGAGGACCTGTCTGCATTTCAGTAATAAAATTGCTTCTTTTGAATTCAGCTTTTCTTGAAGCAGGAATTACAATGGCATTTCCTATTAAGACCTAGAAATTTAGTGGTTAAATTTACCTGAGCATGCTCGTTTCTTTCCTTGGCTGATTTTATCTTAAGAGAGTATTCAAGTTGAAAAATAATAGCAATACTTGGATGCAAGAACACATCTTTCAACTTGACGATACCAGAGGCTTCCAACTCAGTTTCTTCTTTATTATACTTCAAGGTTATTGAATGCTCTTGAATGGCATTCCAAGTATTGTGAACTTTGATGATCAGTTTTCTTTCACTAATTCTAATGACATCCCTCCAGTTTTCGATCAAAAAGTTATATTTTCTAGACAATGGATAGCTTATATCTTCCATTAAAGTTGATTCCCATCCCTTTTTTACACAGATATGCAGATCATGAACATGTAAAGTATCCTTTAGGAAGGAAAAGCCAAGGTCTCCTCTTGCATCAATGATGTCTCTCACACCTGGGATTTCATCGTCCTTACCGGCTATGGTATTTGGAGGAAGATATTTGCAAATCTTATTGTACACTATAGAGAAATAAAGTTAAGCTCTTACCCTCAATATCTCTTTTCTTATCGAATTGTTTCATCATGCATCTGGCATCTGGAGCGTTTTCGCCCGTGGAGAGTGGATCTCTTGAACGGGTTTTGACCATGAGTCCTCTTGGAGTCTGGTTCTCTAAATATCAAATAGTTGTTTCATTCTTCCGCTTGTTCGGGAATAACTGTACGTGATAGTATCCTCCAGAGAAATACGATGTATCTTCTGTATCTGTGATAGTTTTTGTGACTATCAGCACATCGATGATTAAGTACAAGTCTTCGTTAGGCTCCTTTAGACTGACATACATTTCCTGGCTAATGTTTCTAATCGAGAACCTCCCATCTACAAGTTTTCCCAATAGAAGGGACGAGGTGTAAGTCCGACCGAAAAATTTTCGTAGTTTCTTGTGAAATAGAGTGAACGACAGCTGAATATATGATTTTAACTTCCTTCTATATGGTAAGAATTATTATAAAACTTTTTATGTAAAAATTTCTTTTTGATCTGGAAGAAACAAGTCAGGAATTCAATTCTGATGCATTGCCGAAATTCACACCGATAACTTTCAGACAATATTTTGATCCCTTTCAAATATATAAGGAAGAATGTTGATTAATGTAAATTACCTGCTAGCTCCCTTCTGTTCTTCATGAGACCTATCAACAACCGAATGATCAAAGCGATCCAGTTCGAATTGCACTAGAAAATGTAGGTCCTTATCATCAGATGATTTGCTAGGAAAGATATGATCAACAATTATAGGTTTTTGTGTGTTATATTTAAGCAGCCAGTCTTTTATCTTCTTCCGTTCTAGTTTCTCAGCCTTGCCTCCAATTCCTGTAAGCATATTTTAAATTTTAAATAATTTTCAAACAAAATTTTTAGAATTGGGGTTTTGGGGTTTTGGGGTTTTGGGGTTTTGGGG